GCACTACTGCTGAACAGTTCCTGACATTGCATGAAGGAGGATCCATCCAAGATCGATCCTCCTGTCAAAAATAACAATATCAACACATCGGCTTCAAATATGAATTTTTATATGACCATTTAAACCAACAACATTCCTTGATTAAGGTGTTTTTAAAAGCCCTTAATTAAGGACTTAACACCTTAAATCGACAAGTCGCGACAAACCTTAAATAGAGTTAAGGTGTTTTGGAAGATCTGGGTAACCCCGCTGACTAAAAAATATGGGTTTCACAGCTCAGTGCTCACCAAGCTGCGCCGGTAAAGGGTAATATGAGGATAATGGAACAGAAAATGGAAACTACTATTTAGGGTTTAGCGTTTCAAGTGAATGCTGCTACCACTGTGCTGAAGTATGTTCATAGTCTAACGCAACTGCAAGCAGTGGAGGCCGGGTGCCTGGTTCATGCCAGCGCCCTCCCCCCCTGATATGAAACCCCTCACCCCCAAATAGTAAATATTCCACATTGTTTGGTATATCATAATATGTATCTCAATGCTCACAAGCAAAACAGGAAAGCCCAGCTCAATATTGCAGTGACCCAGCAGCTTTCTTTTATGCATCTTGAGCTAAATCTCTCAGCTTAACCTCTCAGCCAGTATTGAATGTTCTTGAACAGGTTTGATGGAGCGTGGCTGTGAGCATGAGGCCGCTGACTTCTCACGCTCAAGGTTCAAAAGTGGAAGTCGGCCGGTATGGACGCGAGCCATGGCGTGCTAGCTGCTGCTGGCTTGCTGGTCGGCCTGTGGTTTTCTGCAAGTCCTTCTCCAAGTCCTGTGGCCAAGGACTGTCATTGTCATTGTTCCTGTCCCCCTGACCCGAACTCCAACACCTCAGTGAGTACCTGCGGAATCGTAGCTTTGCTGGTGATCCTCCTTGGGACGAACCTTGCGCTGGTTCTGCGAGTGACTATCAGGCATAGCGCCTCGGGGGATCAAGAGTGGGTGTTGTCAGTCAAAGGGAAGCCTGGAAAGGGGGTCTACGGAGCCGCGAAGGGGCTTCAAATCACTGACCATTGATTGTTAAATCGGGTGCATGGCTTTCACGCCGGGAGACATTGTTTATGTAGATTATGGAGAGAGGCCAATCTGTGTGCATGCTCGCTTAGTGCTGGCAGCAGTGGACGAGGCTAACCATGAGTACATGATCCTAACTCCCGATTATGACATGTATCCTGAAATCCTGGGCAACAGCAATCCTGAATATGCTCGCTTCTTTGGAGCCGGCCCGCGGGGTGGGATACCACGTGGTGTATCGGCGAGGAACATCTACGGCTTCGCGCCGATCACTGCTGCCCAGTTTGCTGCTTTCATGCACCAGGGGCGCGAAGAAGCGCGAGCAGAGCAGGAACGCCGCGGTCTTGGAGGCAGAGTTGTCCAGCCCGCAGTGCCGGCGCAGCTGCGGCCGGGGGGGGTGTGGCTGCACTGGGACAGCAGGTGGCTGGCGTGCCCGCAGCCGTTGCTGCCCCAGCAACTGCGGAGCCCATGCAGTATGCGCCAAACACTCTGTATTGGCTAGCCGCGGAAGACAGCGAAGGCATCAATTTCGGCGATGCTGTGCCGGGAGTGGTGGCTGCAGCCGTGGAGGGGGCGAAGACTGTTCACACACTGCCAGGAGGGGGTACACTGTTCTGTCAATGTGTGATGGGGTCTAATCGCTCCAGCTTCTTGCAGAGGCCGGCTCGGTGGGATTCTCGGGTGGTTCCCGTCACCTTGGATGCAATGGGCCGCCCGGACTGCTCCCTGAAGGAGGCGGCTCAGAAAGGAAAGGAGGTCCCGGCGTCCTGGACGCTGCCAGGACCCAGGACGGCAAGATGGTGCATGGCTTATCTATCGGTGGAAGATATAGGTCTTGAGCAACATCATGAGCAATTCCGTCAGCTGGTGAAAGCGGAGAGCTCCAATTGGGGGATTTCTGAACATTTTCAGCTCTCCATGATCCTGAAGGCCGCCCTCCAGCAGGACCAGCTGGATGGTTTTAACAATCTGTTCATCGAGGTCATCTTTCGCCGGCTGCAAACAATCGAATTCTCTTATGCAGAAAAGGCAAGAGAGCTGGAGAGCAAGGCCGCTGGCGGTCGTCTAAGTTTGGAGGAACAACAGACGTTCGGCGGTCTTACTCGACAGGCCTCTACCCTAATGATCTGTCCGGACCTTCTGTCACATGTGAAGACTGAAGTTGAGCGAGATGCGGCCCTTGCAAAGAACCTCCGCAAAGCGCGTGAGGAGCGTGAGCTCCAGCGCAAAAAGCGCGGAGGAGGAAAGGGCGGGGATGACGCCGCGTGAGCCGACGGGGGGAGACAGCGTGAGGCTCGCTGCTCCCCCCTTTCCATTTGAGCCTCTGCAAGTTGATCGCGCAGTGCCTCGAGACCTATTTCCTCTACCCCTGCTGCCCGGTGCCCGGTCAGATACAGCTGGCATGGGCCGTCGTTCGCAGAGGCGAGCCTTACACAGGTGGCGGGAGATGGAGGAGACAAATCGCACTCTGGCCGCGCTGAATTCGATGTATAGTGCCCCTGCGAAGCAAGGGCACGCGACTTCTTTCTTTCGTACCTCGGCTGCACAGGCCAGGGCAATTGACTTCATCAGACAGTCGGTGCATGAGATGGGAAGGCCGCCTGCCGACCTTTCCGGCCCAGAAGCGCTTCGGCAGCTTCGGGCAGCAGGGGCCTACGACGGTGGAGACCAGGCCGTTGTTGGTGTTCCTTCGCCTTACAATCCCGAAAGCGTATCACTTCCCTCTCCGGGGTGGCAGCCAATTGATCTTGCTGCGCTGTGGGGCGCTGACGGGCACGAGATGGTGGGCGACTTTACTCGCTCGAAGCTTCTGCCTCTGAGTGATGCTCGGCAACATGTTTTGGCAAGTGGTGTTGAGAAGCCTTATTGGGATCCCTGTTTAAAACACAAACCCACGTACGGTAAATTTCTTAGCCGATTATGGGCCTCGAACTTGATCGACTTTGTGCTCGAGCCCTGCCGGGAAGAAGTGGCCATCTTTTTTGTCACCAAGAAGGCTGGCCGACTTCGCATGATCATTGATGCCCGTCGCAGCAACTGTCATTTCACGGACCCAGAGTATGTCCACCTTTGCACCGGGGAGGCCCTCTCCCGACTGGAGGCCGACGCTCCGCTGACGGTGGCAACTGCCGATTTGAAGGACGCTTTCTACCATATAGGCTTGCCGGTGGAGTGGCGGGATGTGTTCGGTCTCCCACCCATCCAGGCTGGGCTAGTTGATGGACTTCAGGTCGGAGCCAGACGCTGGGGCCTCACATCAAGGTTTACCCGCGTCTTGCTATGGTTCCGATGGGGTGGTCGTGGGCTCTCTGGATGTGCCAATCTATCCATGAGCGGCTTGTTGAGGCCTCAGGGCTTCGTGATGAAGCCCGCCTACGAGATAGGCGGCCAGTGCCTGAAAAGAACATCCTGCACACCCAGTACGTTGATAACTTGATCGTGTTGGGTACCGATAGAGAAGCAGTTCTGGAGGCCTACCAGGCAGCCGTCTTCAAGTTTAAGGAGGCAGGCTTGCAAGTCCATGGGGAGGAAGTCTCCGATACTGGCGCCAAGGTCTTGGGTTGGGAGATCCGAGCCGATGGTCATTTTGGACCCTCATTGCACCGGGCTTGGAAGGTGCGTCTGGCGATCCGAGAGTTGCTTCGACGGGGTAGGGCTACTGGAAAGCAACTTGAGAGACTGTTAGGTCACTGCGTGTTCATCTCACTGGGAAGGCGGGAGAGCCTGTCTGTTTTCAGTGATATTTACAGACACGTGCAGCGATATCGGGATTGTCATGTGGAACTTCCTATTCCCCGAGGTGTACGGCAAGAGTTGATCAAGTGGGATGGTATTTTGCCTCTCTTGCGCAGGAGTCTCCGCTCGAAGTGGTCGGACACAATTCATGCTGTGGACGCCTCAGAGTGGGGCTTGGGTGTCACTGACGCCAACCTAGCCCAAGCACAAGTGCGCAAGCTGGGCCAATTCAATGAGCGTTGGCGCTTCAAGGAGCCTGGCGTCGCCCGGCCAAGGGACCATGCCTTGGTCGCTGCTGGGGGGGGCTCCCCCGATGAGACTAGTGAGCACTACCAGGTAGACCGTGATTTTCAGGCGTTTGAACCGGTGGCTTTTGGCATTGTGGATCGGCCCTGGAGGACTACGGCGTGCTACCGATGGAAACGCAAACTGTCCTTGCCGGTGGCGGAGGCGCGCTCAACCCTACACGCAGTGAAACATGTGCTGCGATCCTTGTCTTCTCATGGGCAGAAACATGTGGTGTTGAGTGACTCCATGACCGCAGTGTGTGCCATATCCAGGGGCAGGGCCCACACGTTCGAGTTGCGTAGAGTTTGCCAGCAGATTGGGGCTTTGAGTCTGGCTACGGACACTGCCTTTTTTCTACGCTGGGTGCCTAGTGAGTGGAATCCGGCAGACAATCCATCTCGAGGACGCCTTCTTCCCTCTATCCCCCAGCGGCTGCTCCACGGGCTGCACGAGGCTCAGGGTGAACATGATCCATCGAGGCATGCTCACGACGCCTCTCCTTTCTGCGGCTGCAGGGGCCCAAAAGGTGAAGGGGCACAAGAGGAGGATGGCTCCTCCAGCGGCGACAGCAACGCAACGAGGGGACGGCATTCCGAACCTTCAACCTGCAATCAGGACAAGGCGGATGGTCCAGCGGAAAAAGCGGAAGCGGCAGCGTGCAGCAGAGGGGGAGAGAACGGCTTTGGAGGATGCGGCTGTCACCCCGGCATGTCATCGCAGGTACACTTTGGCTTGGGAACCCGTGCGCCACCTGGTTTACCGATCCCGCTCAACCTTGAGATCCTTCTCGGTCATCGACAAGAATTTGGCCGAGAAACTCCAGGACATGTACATGGATGGCGAGGATCTTTCCGCGGGCCAGTACCTGATTGCAGCGGTGTTGTTTTTCAGCCCCCAGGTCAAAGCCGAGGGAATGCAGAAGCTACCTCGGGTGAAGCAGAGCTTGCAGGGGTGGCGGCGCCTTGCCCCTCCACAGTCCCGTCTACCAATTCCTTTCGAGGCGGTGGCTCTTCTCGCGAAGTGGGGCTTCGAGAATGGCATGGTGTTGGTTGCGCTGCACATGTTGTTGAACTTCATGCTCTACTTGCGCCCCGCCGAGGCCCTGCGTCTGAGATGCCGAGATCTGGTGAGACCTCCAACCAGTCAGAAGCGCTACCGGCGGTGGACACTGGTCCTCCATCCACTGGAGCTGGGCACAGCTCCAAAACCATGGAGTTCGACGAGACTCTGGAGCTGGACCTCCCGTATCACGACAACGTAGGCGAGGCACTGGCACGAGTGGCCGCGGTGGGATCCAGAGACCCCGAAGAGGTCCTGTTCAAGCATTCCCTTCGCGACCTGGCACGTTTCCTGGAGCGAGGTGCGGAGGCACTTCATCTGCAGGCTTTAGGGCCCCTTCATCCGTACCGCCTACGTCATGGAGGCGCGTCACACGACTTCAGCTTGGGTCTTCGAGATCTGCCGGCCATCCAACTCAGGGGCAGGTGGAGGAGCGCTGCGAGCGTGCGGCGCTATCAGAAAGGGGGGCGTTTGGCTCAGCTCTTCGCCGGGCTCCCAGGGGAGGTCCAACGGGCAGCTCTCAAAGCTGTAAGCGACCTGAGTCATTTGTGTGCCGTGGTGCGTTGAGTCGCCCCTTGCCCGATCCGGCTGTTTTCCTGGAAGTCTTTGCGGGAACACACAGACTTGCAAGCACGATTGCCAGAAAAAATGGGTGGCCCGTTCTTTTCTGGGACATCCAGCTGGGACCTGCCTATGATCTGACGGTCCGACTAAATCAGTACAAGATCGTTGGATGGTTGCGTGCAGGACGGCTCCGAGGACTTCATCACGGCAATCCTTGCCGCACCTTTTCTCCCTCTTGGGACAGCAGGCCGGGGCTGGCGCCCTTGCGCTCCGACTTTTTTCCGCTTGGACTACCTGATTTGCAGCCAGGTGATGGACAAAAAGTGCAGATCGACAACATCCTGATGCGGTTCACTGCTCAATGCATGCGTTTATGTCTCGTTTTCCATGTACCCATGACTGCCGAAAACCCTCGATCGTCCAGGCTATGGCAGTGCCCACCGATCCGGTACTTGCTTCGCAGGCGGCGAGTCCAACTCCATCACACTGATTACTGCAGTTTTGGCGTGGGTTGGAAGAGAAGTGTCTCTTTTGCTGCAGTATGGGTCTCTCTCGACAAGCTCGACTGCCGCAGGTGCCACGGTTCTAAGCGATGCTGTATGTTCACAGGACGTCCTCATTGGCCGTTGTTGGGGCAGGCTCCGAATGGGCGATTCTGGGCAGCTATTGGCGAGCCGTACCCTCCCAAGCTGTGTGAGTTGATTGCTTCATGCTTCAGCGATTGGGAGTGCTCGGTTGTGGCTGGAAATTTCTCCAAATATGTATGAGCGGCTTGCAGCCAGGTCGCAGGCGACTATGGGTGTCAGCGGATATGGGAGGAGGTGCAAGCTTGCAAAAAGTGTGTGAGCTCCTCTGTGCTGCCACGGCAGCGGACGCAGAGCTTTGTACCCGGTTTCTGGCTGAAAAGGTGAGCTGCTAGTGGGTATCAATTCTATGCAAGCCTTGAACCCTGAGCCCTGCACACTATACTTGCCCACTTCGCTTATATCCCTGGCTCAATATGGGGATTTCCATCAATAGAGGGCTCCAAGTATAGATCCCAATGTACTATCATCCCTCTTACAGGGCCTCCCCAAACTTAACCCCGAATTTTGGGAATCACCTTCCATATCCTTGTAACCCTGTGAAAGGACACAAGAACCGCTGACACCTAAATCCTAAACCCTCAACCTTACATCCTAAACCCTGAAGCCGCAGCCCCAAAGACTTACAAACCTCAAGGGTTTAGGGTTTAGGGTTTCGGGTAAGCCCTCCTGTAGCCCTAGACCCTAAACCCTGAACCTTAAACCCGAAACTGTGATATCCTAAACCCCTTGTCCGAGATGGCAGGAGCCTTTCTGAAGAGGGGGAGCTTGTGGTGGAGAGGCCTTAGCCAAGTAGATGGATCAAGGGTTTAGGGCTAAGGGTGTATGGCTTAGGGTTGAGGGTGTAAGGTTTACCTAAACCCCAAAAGTATGTAGAATAATGGCCTTTTGGGCTTTTGGGCTATGATTTTGCCTACTTTTGGGGTTCAGGTAGGGCTTACGGTGTAGTTTCCATAAATGGGGGGGACCCTGTATAAGGGAACCCCCCTAAATGGTACCCCTAATTTTGGGAAACCCCCATTTAAGCTCCTTAACAGCAACCCAGTAGTCTTTATTTTATGGCCTCCCCCATTCGGGTGTTTCCCAAAATTAAGGGTACCTTTTTTGGGGTCCCTATAATAAGGACTATAGTAGATTGGAGTCTATGTTGGGGTACCCTAATTTTGGGAAACTACCATTTGGATAAACCCCACTTTCTTCTACAAGGTCTTGTGTTTTTTGGTATTGGCTTTCGGTTTGACAGGTTGAAGGTTTTGAACTTTGGGTCAGGTTGGGGGATGGGGGTTCAGGGTACAGTACGTCAGGCTCAGGTTTGAGAGTTTAGGTGAAGCTTTTGTCACGTCTTGCGCAGTGTAATCATGTGCACAGGGGTTGCAGGTAGAGGGTCTGAGAGTCGTACGTAGAAGCATGTAGCGAGTATATGGGCACTATATAGGGTCTAGAAGGGGGTTATACAGCTCTCATTCTACACTGCAGCTTAACCCTAAACCTTTAAACCTAAACCCCTAAACTCCAATGATTGGTCACTGAGGGCACCATACTACAAAGCTCCTTCCTGCAATTCACCTCTTAAAGCTTTTAGGGTTTAGGGGCTTAGGGTTTAGGGTTTACACCCCCCATACCATACCCGTTTTAGGGTACCTAATTTTATGTATGGAAGATACTTTACTAGACATAAAGTTGGGTATCCTAAAAAGGTGGTAAGCCTGAATCCTAAATTTTAAACCGTAAACCCTAAACTCTAATCTCTAAACCCTGAACCCTAAGCCTTCACTTGGGTACCATCTCAACAGGGAATCTTGACCTCAACAGGCTCAGGGTTTAGGGCTTAGACTGTTTATACCCAGGTCCTCAGGAGGATCCAGAAGCCTGATTTGCATTGAAAACCCTAAACCCCTTTAGGGGCCTAGGGTTTAGGGTGTAGTATAGGGTTTTGCGTTTAGGGTTTAGGGTTTATAGCACTAACCTTCAGTTGGGCAAATTCCTCCACCTCACCCCACGTCATTCCCAATGATGGTGTAATTATGCGGACTGGACTACAATATTTTTGGGTCTGAAATGGGATCCCCTATTTTGAGAAACTCCCATAGAAGAGTGCCAAAATGCGTTTACTTCTTTCTGCCCTGGTGTTGTTTTAATGTGTCGCCGACTCGCGGACTCCTCCTACGGTCCGACAAGCTATAATCCCCCTTAAGTAGATAGAATATGGCTTCGGGTATACTATGATAAGATCCCCATATACCCCATATTCTATCTACTTAAGGGGGACTATACCTATTAGTTGGGATTTAGGGTTTTGGGGCTTTGGGGCGCCAACCTTGGTCCACCTCAAAAAGGTCCTCCTCAGCGGGGGGCCTGAGAAAAAATCTGAGTCCTACAAAGCCATGGCTGACGAGAACCTCCTCCCCCGTCTCTGTTGATACTGTTGCAAACCCGGAGGGTCCATGTACCCAATAGTTAAGTACTTGGGATTTGGGTAATAGTAATTATATGATTATTAGGTACTTGGACCCTTAGGGAAAGTGGCATCGCGATTGACTCCAAGCGCCCAATTGCCAAGCCCAATTTCCGAAAGGGTGGAATCGGTCCTGGCCAGTTGCAATGTTGCTCTGCTCGGCGCAGCATCAGTGGATGGGCATCTTGCAATGTCGAGTTTTTCAATCGAGCCGCGACCTAGAGAAGTTTGAGAACTGTTGAATCTGCTAGAGCATCGTGATCAATTACGTTTCAAAGTGGCCTTCGGCCAGGGGCAGGTTGGAAGTATATTCGGCCGCATCTTTTTTCTACCCCGAGAAGAGCAGAAGATCATGTTTATGAGCTCTCCCAAGATATGGTAGCTTCCCAAAAAATGGGGGACCCCGACAGACCCCAACATAGTAGCGACCTTATTGGGCTCCCTCAGAAGATACCCCTGAGTTTGAGAAATCCACATATAGGTCGTCCTGGTTGTTCACATAATACTCACAAAAATGGAGTAATAGCAATTACAATAATAATCGTAGTAACAGTAATAAGCATTACAATAACAATAATACTAATAGTAACAATAGTAGCAATAACAATAACAATAATGATAATGACAGTAAACTAACAACAATAACAATGCTAACAACAACAACAACAACAACAACAACAACGACAACGACAACGACAACGACAACGACAACGACAACGACAACGACAACGACAACGACAACGACCACAACGACAACA